CCACCACCCCATCTCCTCTGAAGTGTAGCCACAACCTCCAGACTCCACCTTCTCTGGTTCCAGGGTCTTCCCACACCACAGTCCACTGTTCCCTGCCATTGTCCAGGGGTCCATCAAACCTCTGATTACACCATTTTACCTCCTACATTGAGTCCTTGGCTCAGGGTCTGGCTCAGGATGTCCCAAGGTCCTCACCTGCAAAACCCTGTGTCAGGCCACCACGTCCACCCCAACTTCTCAGGCCAACTTCTCGGGCCCCAGGGAGCTTCTGATCTCACATCTCTACCCCTGATCCCTCTGACTGCTGTGACTTTTCATTTTCTGAAGCCTTATCTGAACTTCAACCAGAGAAACAGCAACTCCCCATCTCAGCTCCCACAGCCTCACAAATTCTCTTTTGACTTTTCCCCAAGGTACTCCCTCTCCAGGGCTCAGGTTGAGACACCAGGATAGAGTGGCCGGAGAGGGAGGAGGAGGGGGTCTAGCTGCGAAAGTGAATCAGCCGATGTGTTAGAGGGGCCCAGAGACCAGATGTGAATTCTAATCCAGTGTCCCATGGAATGGCCCTGAGAATGAAGCCCTGGGATAGGCCATGGCCACCTGTGACCTGGGGACTCTGGGCAATTGGATGGGGTACCTCAGATGGTGACAACCTGGACGGATGCACTGGTTGCACACTCAGCCTTGGAGAAGGAAGGAGAGAGGGACTTCTGTGCAACCTGGTGTCACAGTCCGGGTGTTGCCCCAGTGGCCTCTTGGTCAAGCTGTATCCTTTCCCCAAGTAGGAGGAAGAAAAGGAGGTGATTACAGTAGAAAATAACTAGCAATACCCATGGTGACCGGGTATCAGATCCCCTTGAAATCCTTTCTGTGCTTTCCTACCTCTGTACCTTTGCGATTGCTCAGACTTTGTACTGATATCCCCTTCGCCATCCTTCCCTGGGCCCTTGGAATGTCGCCTGTCAGGTCCTCAGACTTCTACTACCTGAATGAGGGTGTGCTGTCCCTGCCTCTAGAATCTGGCTTTCCTGGTTTGTCCTCACAGCCTGTCAGAGCAGAGGTCATATCAGAAAAGACCCCACAGCTCTTGTCTCCCGGTGGGTTGGCCCCTGACTCCACATCTGATCCTTGAGAAACCCTCATGCACCCATTATGCCAACAACCTCAGGGAGTGAGCCCTGATCTGCATGGCTCACCTGCTTTTCTCCTCCCAGCCATGCTTCCTGTCTGTGAGACTCCAGAGACTCCAGAGACATGGAAGTAGACCAGAACCCCTAAACTGTGCCCCTAACTTTGTGAATATCCACCAGCTCTGATTGGCCAATTGATCAGGAAAATGAGACCCATGGTCTACGTCATTCCATCAAGGACCTCCTACTCAAAAAATGACAGACTGGGACATGGGGTCATGCCCCTCAATGACCCACCACCTGTCCTTTTCACAGGGACAAGGGGAAGGATTCAGCTCCTAACCCCTGCCCCCTGCCCTCTGCAGGGACCTGCGATGGTAGCCATGGTGCTGTGAAGGCAGGGATTTGGGTCAAGGGTGACCTCTGCTCAGGGTCAGCTTCCTATTTCCCATGGACCACTTCAGCTGAAACTAGGAGCTGAAAGAGAACCACGAGGTGAAGTCATCCTGGAAAAGACAGCAGAAGGCATTTAGTGTCTGCAGGCGTGTCTGGGCACCTACAGGATCGTCACCTGCCAGGACCCACTTATCGGTCAGCACACTAAGCAGTGTTCCTAGCCCTTGAGACATCTAGGGATCCACAGAAAGTTTTACTTTTAATTGTTTAAAATCACAGATGCAAACACTGACCTATTGATGAATATATAACATGAAAAGCAGCTTGGGTTATATTCAA